AGAAAAATCTTCTTGGTAGGTTAATTTGTACTATGGATGAATAATAAAATATCAGGTGTCTGTCGACTCAACTCTCATGCTCCTTTCTCTCTTTCTCATAAGACAATCCATAACTTCTAAAGCTAAATTCTGGGCATTTCTCTTTCACAGTCCATTGATTGAACCACGTTACATAGGAGTAGGGAGTTTCTGGGAACCATTTCAATTTGCCCCCTGTATGCATATGCTTTTGTCAAAGAAAAACAACTGCAATATGCAGTTTAATTTAAGTTAAAAGTTTTTACTGTGCTTCCCACAAATCCAAAAGTGGGGAGACAGAGTTTCCAAGCTGCAATAGTCATGAGCATGATCGAATAAGATCTTTCTAACAACTTTTTTTCACAGCCATAATTATTGATTCAGGATGTAGATTAACGGTGAAAAACCTCTAGGGAGTTCTACTTTAGACCTTGGCCCTTGAGAAGGACATTCCATCAGTGTCCACATTAATATATTTAAATCACATGGTTGCAAACATCATAGTTTTGGCTGAAAGTTGGAAGATTTTTTTCATCTTTACAATTAAAAATTATTGTCATCCCATCTTCATACCACTAACGTCTAAAACTCCATCAAGCAATAATCATCTCATTGTTTATGTATAAGTATCAGTCTTGTGTAATTGTACATGTCGCCAAGCCCACACTAAAACCACGCAACATTCTAATCTCATGGAGAGAAACCTTTCCCTTTGCTTTGTCTTAGCTTTCTTACTTCCTTTTCAACTCATTCCTTTGTTAATGCGGAAGTAACCAACATTTCTACAGACAAACAAGCTCTTCTTGCTCTAAAAGCTCGTATAAGCCATGATCCTAGCAATATATTGGCCAATAATTGGTCCACAACTACCTCTGTTTGTAGTTGGACTGGCATCACTCGTGTGGGCCGTCGCCATAGAGTCACAGCTTTGTGTACATATAATTCCACCCTTTATATATGAAAGTATCACAGGTGAGTCCTTGGCCTATACACAAAACCTTGTCCTCTCATGGAGACAAATCATTCTCTTTGCATTTTATTCATGGCGGGCTTTGTTCAATTTCTTGTATTTTACTTTGTTAGTGCAAAACAAACCAACATTATCACAGACCAACAAGCTTTTCTTGCACTCAAAGCTCATATAACCCATGACCCTAGCAATTTATTGGCCACCAATTGGTCCACAACTACCTCTGTTTGTAACTGAATTGGCATCCGTTGCGGTGCCCGTCACCACAGAGTCACATTTCTTGATATTTCTTCCTTTAATCTTACAGGCATCATTCCTCCTCAACTCGGAAATCTTTCTTTCCTCACAATTCTAGGCTTCCAAAACAACAGCTTTTATGGCTCTCTCCCTGATGAGTTAGCTCAATTACGTCGTCTCAAATACCTTGATTTCAGTTACAATAACTTCAATTTACAGATCCCGTTATGGCTGGCCTCCTTAACCAAACTTCAATTTTTGGGTTTGAATGAAATCAAATTCTCAGGGACTATCCCTCAGTCCCTTGGCAACTTGTCTTCGTTACAACAACTTTATCTTGATTATAATCAGCTTTCAGGTTCCATTCCCACCTCCATCTTCAACATATCTTCACTGCAGTTACTTAGTTTTGTAGGTTTTTCAGGGTTCTAAAGCTAAGAGAAAGAAGGTTATTTGAGCATGAGAGAGAGCAAAAACAGAAGAGAAAGAACTGATACAAAACAGTCTACGTTTTTCATTCAAAACAGAGAAATATATGAACCTAATACATCACTGTTACAACTACTTTTCAGTATAAATAATCTTTAAATATACTACAATTTGAACCACTCTTAACAAACACAAAATTCACTGAGATTTTGTGGCTTAATCACCGGCTGTCTTCACCTAAAACATCATTCAAATAACTTCCAAAAAAGGATGGGAACTGCACATGACAGACAGCCCTTTTAATTCAAAAACCTGGCGCCAAACTTACAAACCAACCATGCAAAATGATTTCCAGCAAAATATCATTTACTTCAACACTCCTCCTTGATATTTTTGCTGGAAACTCCAAGTCTGAATCTTAATTCTTCAAACTTGGATCTGCCTAAGGGTTTGGTCATGCCATTATGTCAGCCACTTGCTCCTCTCCCCTGCATTGAATCAGATTTACTTCACCATCTTGCTCTGCCTCTCTCACTGCATGATATTTGATTTTGATATGCTTTGTGCGACCATGGAGTACTGGATTCTTGAACATAGCAATTGCTGATTGGTTGTCACAGTGCAGCACATTTCCTTGAGTCTGTTCCAACCTCAAGTCTTTCAAGATCTTTCTCAGCCAAACCAACTGGTTGACTGCAGCAGCAGCAGCAGCTACATATTCAGCTTCAGCAGTGGATTGTGCTACCACCTCTTGCTTTTTTGAATTCCAGCTTATGGCACCTGCATTCACCAAGAAAATATATCCAGAGGTGCTTTTCATGTCATCCAAGGAGCCACCCCAATCACTGTCAGTGAAACCATGCAAACTGAAATTTTCAGCTTCCTTAAACCATATTCCCTGGTCTGGACATCCTCTAATGTATCTGAGGACTCTTTTTGCTGCTTGCAAATGCAGCTCACTTGGTTCATTCATGAACCTAGAGAGTAAACTTGCTGCAAACATAATGTCTGGCCTTGTTGCAGTCAAGTACAACAAGCACCCAACTATGCTTCTGTACTTAGTTTCATCAACCTTAGCAGCACCATCATTTTTACACAACTTCACATTTTGCATCAGAGGTGTGTTGATAGGTTTGCAGTTCTCCATTGCAAATTTTTTGAGAAGTTCATTAGCATACCTCTCTTGGGAGATAAATATCCCATAAGGAGACTGCCATACTTCCATTCCCAAAAAGAAACTCATCTCCCCTAAATCAGTCATCTCAAATTCCTTGTGCAGCTCTTTCTTGAAATCCAGCAGCCTAGTAGAGTTAGTCCCTGTCACCAGAAGGTCATCAACATACAAGGATACAAATATCCTTTCATCATCAACCTCTCTAACATATAGGGTGTGCTAATTTGGACTTCTTTCAAACCCCAAACTCATCAAGAACTTATTAATTCTGCTATACCAGGCCCTAAGGGCCTGTTTTAATCCATAAAGAGCCTTCCTAAGGAGATACACTTTATCCTCTTGCCCTTCAACCGTATACCCTTTAGGTTGCTCCACAAAGATCTCTTCATTAAGCCACCCATTCAAGAAAGTAGATTTCACATCCATTTGGAAGACTTTCCACTTGAAATGGGTTGCAGTTGCAAGTAGAATTCTGATGGTGTCATGCCTTGCAACTGGTGCGAAAGTGTCAGTAAAGTCCACCTCAAACTGCTGTGCATAACCCTTCACTACAAGCCTTGCCTTGTGTCTGTTAACTGAACCATCAGGATTCAGTTTCTTCTTATAAATCCATTTCACCTTAATGATTTTTCTTCCGATAGGTCTGGTTACAAGTTCCCAGGTTGCATTCTTCTCTATCATGTCAATTTCTTCATCCATTGCTGTCCTCCACTTTTTAACTTGGGCTGCTTCAGCATAACATGATGGTTCCATCAAGGCCAAGTTGCATCTGTCATAAATTTCAGCCAAAGGTCTAGTTCCCCTGACTGGAGAATCAGCTTCAGAATCAGAACTGAAATCTGGAGCATCCTGAGTAGCTATCAAGTCTCCTCCTTGTTCTTGCATATTACTCCCTTCAATCTCATTTCTGTCCCAGTTCCATAGCCCTTCTTCATCTACTTTTACATCACTGTTAACCAGGAATTTTTTGGTCTTAGGATTGTAAATCCTATATGCTTTGGATAAGCTACTATAACCAACAAAAATTCCAGTTTCAGCCTTCTCATCCAGCTTACTCCACTTGTTGGCTGGAATGTGAGCATAACAAATGCTTCCAAACACTTTGAGGTGGTTGATGCTTGGCTTTACTCCATACCAAGCCTCAAATGGTGTTTGGTTATCTAAGGCTTTAGTTGGCAACCTGTTGAGAAGATAGACTGTTGTATTCACAACTTCAGCCCAGAAAAAATTGGGCAGTTTTTTCTCAAACAGCATACATCTTGCCATTTCCATTACTGTTCTGTTTTTCCTTTCACTCACACCATTTTGCTGTGGTGTGTAAAGGGAGCTCAGTTGGTGCTTTATTCCAGACCCTGCACACAGTTCTTGAAATTGATTTGAGGTATACTCTGAACCATTGTCACTCCAGATGGTTTTCAAACTCAAACCAGTTTCATTTTCCACCATTTGCTTAAACCCCTTAAACATTGCAGCCACCTCACCTTTTTGTTTCAAGAAGTAGACCCAACACAGCCTGGTGAAATCGTCTATAAACAGTAGAAAATACCTATTGCCATTCAGAGAGGGCACCTGCATTGGACCACACACATCTGTGTGTATAAGCTGAAGCTTTTCAGCAGCTCTCCAGGATTGTTTTGCTGGAAATGGTTGCCTACTGATTTTTCCCAGTTGGCAAACTTGACATACCCTTTCCTTCTCCTCAATTTCGGGCATACACTGAACAAGTTCTCTCCTCCTCATTTCCTTAAGACCTGAATAATGATAATGCCCAAGTCTTTTGTGCCAAGTTTCAGTTTCAACACATTTTGCAGACAAGGCATGCAAGGCTGAGTTTTTCCATTCAATTGGAAAACTTTTTCCTAGCATTTTCACATTCATCAATTCATTCCCTAAGTTGTCAACTACAATGCAAGACATATTTTGAAAATGTAGGGAGTAGTTCTTTTCTAGCATTTGACCTACACTCAGCAAGCTTTGGTTGATTTCGGGTACATAAAGAACATTTGTAATATATTTGGTGCCTAATGTAGTTGGGACAGCAACCTTACCTCTTCCTTTGACTTCCACAAATTCTCCATTGCCAATCTTGACTTTGGAGTGAAAGAGTCTATCAATGCTCACAAAACTTGACAGATTTGGAGTCATGTGGTTTGTGCAACCACTATCAATCAGCTATACATCATCACACATGTTGTGGTTTGTGCATGAAGCCATGAAGAGTTGTTCTGCTTCTGGATTTGGTTGCTGGACCTCCACCACTGTAGCCTGCTGCTCCTGCTGATTTCCTTTGCTTTTACACACTTTTTCTATGTGTCCACACTGCTTGCATGACCTGCATTGTATGCCAGGTCTGAACCAACACTTATATTCTGGATGGTTCTTCTTTTTGCAGTGCACACATGGAGGAAATGATCTTTGTCCACCACGTTTCCCTCCTTGATTGTAGCTCTTCTCTTTTCCTTTCTTTTCACCACTATATTTCTTGTCTTCTCTTCCTTGTAATCTTCCTTTTTGACCTACATACATGGCTGTCTTAGTTGAGTCTTCTTGCCTCATCTGCCTTCTTTGTTTCTGGGCTTGAAGTGAATGAACCAGCTCAACCAAGCTAATTCGGGACAGATCTTTGGAGTCCTCTAGGGACAAAATTTTTGCTTCAAACCTCTCAGGTAAGCTGACCAGGACCTTCTCCACCACTCTCTGGTTGGTTAGTTCTTCCCCTAGCAGCTTGATTTTGTTCACCACAGCCATGAGTTTGTCCACATATTCCTTGACAAATTCTGTCTCCTGCATCTTGAGTACTTCAAATTCTCTTCTCAAGTTTAGAACCTGCATATTTCTTGTCTGGTTACTCCCTCCAAACTCCTCCTTGAGAGTGTCCCAGGCTTGTTTAGGTGTCTCACATGCCATGATCCTGGAGAAGACCTGATCTGTCACGGCTGAATGTATACAAGACAATGCTCTTGGAGCTTTGGCTGCTTTTTCTTCATGAACTCTCATCTGGTTCAGCGTCGGGTTGGGTCCAAGGTGGGGAACTTGCTTCTCCTCTTCCACATATTGCCACAAGCCATGGCCTCTTAGATATGTTTTCATCTTGACAGCCCAAACATGGTACTGGTCACCGTTGAAAACTGGAGCAGAGATTGGAGCAGAACTGGATGCCATGGAGAAGCTTTTTTGAGTTAATATTCTGGTCCTGAAGGATCAAAGTAGCTCTGATACCAATTGTAGGTTTTTTAGGGTTCTAAAGCTAAGAGAAATAAGGTTATTTGAGCATGAGAGAGAGCAAAAACAGAAGAGAAAGAACTGATACAAAACAGTCTACGTTTTTCATTCAAAACAGAGAAATATATGAACCTAATACATCACTGTTACAACTACTTTTTAGTATAAATAATCTTTAAATATACTACAATTTGAACCACTCTTAACAAACACAAAATTCACTGAGATTTTGTGGCTTAATCACCGGCTGTCTTCACCTAAAACATCATTCAAATAACTTCCAAAAAAGGATGGGAACTGCACATGACAGACAGCCCTTTTAATTCAAAAACCTGACGCCAAACTTTCAAACAACCATACAAAATGATTTCCAGCAAAATATCATTTACTTCAAAAAGTTTATATCATAACCAACTCTCTGGTTCCTTCCCTTCCATTTTTTTTAACATGCATTCGTTATTATATATTGACGTTGGTGATAATGGATTATCCGGTGGACTCCCTGAAGCTATCCTTGATTATCTTCCTTGATTGGAAATGCTTGCTTTGGATGGAAACATGTTCAGCAGCGAAATACCATCCACTTTATCAAAATGCAGAAGCTTGCAATCCTTATCCTTGTTGTACATTTATTTCACAGGAGCCATACCAAAAGAAATTGGAAAATTGACGCAGCTTAAGGAGATACGTATTGGACACAGTAGACTCCAAGGTATATATGCAGAAGTTATTGGCATGCATAATTTTTTTTTCTCAATCTCAAATATATAATTCTTTGACCACTATGATTTCTCAAATATTAATTGATATATAGAGTTTTTGTTTTAGAAATTTTGTTAATAATACCGTTGCATATATATATATCTACATGTTGGTTTTGTAGGAGAAATTCCAGGAGAATTGGGCAATTTGACACGACTGGAGTTATTAATTTTTCACAATAATCAGTTCACTGGTACATTTTAAACCAACTGCCTAATCTAGCTGCTACATTTTTTTCAAGGCATATATATGTATGAAATTTGTCAAACTGCACATTTTTTTAAAATAGAACTGTTATTTACTGACATGGATAATGTTTAAAGACAATTTTTCATAGTTTTCCATGTAAGAAAATTGGACTAAAATTTTGTTTATATATAAATAATGATAACCGATGATGGGTATATGGCAACAGTGTATTGGTCGGTGGTGCGGCTAACGTGGTAGCATAGATGTTCTCGAAAAGAAATTTTGCTCCGTTTGATACATATATTGGAAAAACTATTCTAGTTTTCCCAAAAAAGTTAACACAAAATTTGTGTTTGGTTTACCTATTTTCAAAATGTAATTCTAAATTATTCAATTTCTTTTAAACCCGTTAAATTTGTTAATTTAATTAAACAATCCCCAAAAACATTTTAAAAAATGACAAAAACACCCTAGCAACCCAAATTTACCAGATTCCGGCCACCACTGCTGGAAGCTGGCCGGAATCTAGTGTAATGGCACACTACTGGCTGAATCTGGTCGGTAGTGTGCGGATCTAGCCTTTTCCGACCAGATTCATGTTGGATCTGGCCAGATCTTTGCCCGTAGACAGTTGTCAACAATGGCCAATAGTCGTTGTTGACCATCAATGACGGTCGTATCTTTGGCCGTCGTTGATGACCAAATGTGGCCAGATCTGACCATCAATGGCCAGATCTAGTCGTAGATCTGACATTTTCCGACCAAAGTCATGATGGATCTGGCCGAAAAAGGTCATATCGGCTCACGACTGGTAAGATCCAGCTGGTTATGCATCGATACGGTGAATTTGGCCACCCTTCGGCAGTGGTGGCTGGCTATCCATATTTAATGAGTGGATTGGGGGTGTTTTTGTTAACTTTGAATATTTTATTATAGGGGTGTTTAGTAAATAAATAAATATAGGGGGTATTTATGTTAATTTTTAAAATTCTACATCGTAATACCCACCCAATTTAACTTTTTTCAATTATTCTAAAAACTATCCAATAATGAACCAAACGGAGCAAAACATATTTCATCAACCAATGATCCTATGAATCGGTAGTTACTTTTGTTCACGCGTAGTGCTCCATTACCATCGAGTTACAAATTTGAATATTTCTTTTTGGGTCATTCAACATCATTCCTCCTCAATTAGGAATAGCTAACCACTAGAAAAAAACATAGTTTATCATGCGGGAATGCCAACATTTTTATTTTTAAATTTGGATCCATGTACATGGGTAACAGTAAATATAATAAAAGACAACCAACAATGGGTTGACCGACTGGTAAAAGCTTGGGCCAAGGGGTTTGCTCCCCTATAGTATTAGATTTGAATCACATGAACGGTTACTAATATTATTTGCTACTGACCGCGAGGCTTGCCCCGTTTAGGAAGCCTTGTTCTCGGTAACAAAATAATAATAATAATAAAAGACAAAACTATACAACTTTAATTTCACAAAAAAGTTTGACTTTTTTTTTTTTTTTTTTTTTTTAGCATTTACTAGTGTCATCTAATCATGTATTGACATCATCATACAATGTCTTGGTCGATCCACAAGAGAAACGAACTGTATGATATATCTTATTCTTCAATTTTTTTTTGCAGGATCCATACCAAAAGATATTGGAAACTTGATTCAACTTACAAATATGCATCATGACGACAATAATCTCCAAGGTATAATATGTATTATCATATATGCAAGTCCAATTGTACTCTTCAACATCATTATTCACTAGAATTTTATATGGCTATATCATCTTGAAGTCAATTAGTTTCATCTCTATAGACAAAATGATTATTATTAACTCTCATTTGTTGATTTAAATCAAATAGTTGAAGGTTATACTTGATATTTAAAGTGTGATCTTAATTCTTAATTGTGACTGCTCTCTCTCTCTCTCTCTTTGGATTTGATCTTCTTCTATTAAATGAAATGAGATTGTAACTGAGTTAATTCACAGGATCTTCTTCTGTTAAATGAAATGAGATTGTAACTGAGTTAATTCACAGGAGCCATACCAAAAGAAATTGGTAACTTAACTCGACTTGAGGAACTATATCTTCCGAACAATAAACTCCAAAGTATGACATATGCAATCTTTTTATAAAAAAATTAATTAATTGTAAAATAAATATATCTATATACTGGTTACAATATATATTTAATTAACTGTTAAATATAGTTTACCACTATGCCTCAATCTCATATATATTAATATGAAAGTAACAAAAAACATTTGATCCAAAACCTAATGTGCTTAAACATTATAGTAAAGAAACCGCAATGCTAGAAAATAGATTAAATGAATGAAGTGTAGTAATCCTCTCTTTGCTGTAATCTAATCCAACAAATGATGATACAGTTTTTGGTCATATTTAATTTCGAGTGAGATACCAAGTGAAGTTGGTAATCTTCATAATCTACAGTTTTTGGTCCTTGATTTTAACAACTCAGTTGGTTTGGTCCCAACGACTGTCTTCAATATCTCAACGATGATACAACTTGGAGTTTCCGGAAATAAACTTACAGGAATGATTCTTCCATCAAACATTGAACTTCCAAATCTCGAGGGTCTTTACTTGGATTTAAATGATTTTAGTCGAACATTTCCCAACTTTATCACCAACTTGTCCAGGCTCTTCATTCTAGATATTTCAGCCAACTCATTCTTGGGTTTTATTCCTATTACAATTGGCAATTTAAGAAATCTTGAGTGGCTTGTTTTGTCGGATAATTTCTTGACATCTTCTACAACAAATTTGAGCTTTCTTTCCTCTTTGACAAATTGCAAGAATTTAAAACATCTAGAGCTAAAAGGAAATCCGCTCAATGGCATCCTTCCGAGTTCCATAGGGAATCTCTCTACTTCTTTGGAAAATGTTTACATGAATGATTGTAATAGTAGTGACAACATTCCCAAAGAAATCAAAAACTTAAACAACTTGATGGATATACTGTTACAAAACAATGAATTGATTGGGCCTATCCTAGTTACACTTGGTGGGCTACAACAACTCCAGGGTTTGAACCTTGGAAATAATAAATTAGAAGGATCCATCCTGGATCATCTTTGTCATTTGAATCAATTAGTTGACTTGCAACTATATGGTAACAAGATTTATGGATCCATACCTGAATGTTTGGGTAATCTCAATACCTTAAGAATGCTATCGTTAGCCTTCAGTAGGTTAACTTCTATCATACCCTCAACTTTATGGCAACTTAAGGACATCTTGCACTTTAATTTTTCATCAAATTTTCTAAATGGATCTCTCCCATTAGAAATTCAAAATCTGAAAGTTGTGGTAGATATAGATTTGTCAAAGAATTTTTTGTTTGACAATATTCCAATCATTATTGGGAACCTAAAAAATCTCTCTTTAGGATCTAAAAGGTTACATGGCCAGATTCCTTAATCTTTTCGTGACTTGACAAGCTTAGTGTTTTTGGATTTGTCTAATAACAACCTCTTTGGAGTTATTCCTAAGTCTTTAGAAAAACTCTTGTACCTCAAATATCTAAACTTGTCTTTCAACCGATTAAGTGGTGAAATTTCTACTGGAGGGTCTTTTGGAAACTTCTCTACTCAATCATTTACAGGTAATCTTGCTTTGTGTGGTTCTCCCCAACTACAAGTTTTACCATGCAAAAAAACCACTCATCGAAAATCAAGGACCAAAAAGGCTCTCCTATTGATTGTTTTGACACTAAGCATTATGTTCACGTTAGTTGCCTTGCTTCTTACATTTGTGTTGATCAAAGGCCTAAAAAATCCCACAAAGTCATCTACCAATGCTTATATGTTACCACAAGAAACATGGAGGAGAATTTCTCAACACGAACAAGTGAGAGCAACAGATGGATTTAGTGAGAATAACCTGCTTGGTGGAGGAAGTTATGGTTCAGTTTACAAAGGAAGATTAGATGATGGGATGAAGCTTGCAGTAAAGGTATTCCACTTGCATCTTGAAAGAGCATTGACGAGTTTTGAAGTTGAATGTGAAGTAATGAGTCATATTCGTCATCGAAATCTTGTCAAAATCATCAGCTGTTGTTCAAATGATGATTTTAAATCTTTGATACTGGAGTACATGCCCAATGGGAGCTTGGAAAATGCTTGTATTCTGACAACAACGTTTTGGATATATCCCATAGGTTAACCATAATGATTGATGTTGCATCAGCTTTGGAATATCTCCATTTTGGTTATTCAAATCCCATCATTCATTGTGACTTAAAGCCTAGCAACGTCTTGCTAGACGAAAATATGGTTGCACATTTAAGTGATTTTAGCATCGCAAAGCTCTTAGGCGAAAAAGACTCTATGACACAAACACAGACCGTTGCCACCATTGGTTATATGGCACCAAATAATTATTTTTAATTTAATTAATTTTAATATTTTTTTTACTTATGCTTTCTCTCTTAGTAAGGAAAAATTTAATTATTTGTAAATCTAACAATGAAAGTGCATGATCACTATCAGAATATGGAAGAGAAGGGAAACTATCTAGGAAAGGAGATGTTTACAGCTATGGAATTATGCTAATGGAAACATTTACCAGGTAGAAGTCAATAGATGAAATATTTAATGAAGAAATGAGCTTAAGGAGTTGGGTTGGTGAATCATTATGCAGCACAATGATGGACGTTCTGGACACAAATTTGCTAAGAAGTAATATTTCTCTAGAAAGGAAGAATGTGTGTCATCTATCTTGAGTTTAGCTATGGAGTGTACAAGAGAATCACCTCTAGAGAGGATCAACATAAAAGAAGTAGTAACTAGACTCATCAAAATCAAAGTCCAATTTGCAAAAATCGGTAGGAGAAGAGGCAGAAGGGTTTTAAATTTAGGTTAATTTCTTTCTATATATTTTCATCGATGATAAAGTTTTAATCTAGGTGATTAGCCATGCCCTTTAACCTTTCTTTTGTCTATGTTACGTTATTTAACTATTGGCTAATTGCTTTTGATTTGCAGAGAGAAATGGATGAGTTTGTTAACCAACAGGCCATGAATTGAACGGCCTGGATTTCAAAGAAGCTATTTGTGAAGATGGAGCAGCGTTCAACTTCTTCTAAGACATTGATGACAAGAAGTGCTTGTAATGAGTTTTTAAATTTTCTAGACTTTAGTGTGGCCAAGAAAGTATAGGAGATTTGTAAAATTTTCGTGTTCTTAATAGAGCTGAATTATATTTTCTTTGTTAAATCAAGTGAAGTAGTGCAAGTTTATAATAAGAATGACTCACTCAATATCATTCCCTTTGCAATACAATCATGATTGTTCATTAATTTTGATTTTTAATACCAAAGTAAGACTTTTAACGATAGAAAAAAAAAAAAAAAAAACCAAAATTTCAATTAAACATTTCTTGTATCAAGAAACGCAAAATTTTGTTTGTTAAATAAAAGAACTACATATTTTATGATCATGGGTAAAATTTCCCATTTTCCTTTTTGTTTTCTTATTATTAATGTTCACATGGTAAAGCCCACCACTTTTGGCCCAAGGCTTTCCAATACATGGCTAATTTGATAGTTTGAAATGGTTTTCTACGTGCGTGCGTTTACTATATCATGTCATTTAGGGAGCGTTTGGTTGGGGGTTAAGTGGGATTACTGGGGTTATGTCATCTTATATTACTTGATTACCATGTTTGGTTGTTAAGTAATATAAGATACCGGTAATCTTTAAATACCAATAGTAACAATATAAGAGGTAATCTGATTACCTCCATTTTCTTAGGTATTCTGAGATTACCAGGGTTATCTTTTTTTGTTACAATTTTATCCCTTATTAATAAAAATTTTGGACAATAATACCCCTACTTTAAAACAAATTTACATAAATATTCTATTTCAATTTTACCCTTGTTAATTAAAATTTTGGACTATAATACCCTTATATTTAAAATAATTTACAGACCACCACTCACCCAGCCACCACCGCCACTGCCACCCAGCCACCACCACCGACAGCGGCCAACCACCACGGACCACCACCGGAAAATCGTCAGAGTCCTTGAAAAGGAACGAAATTCCGCGAGAGGCTCCGGAGGCTTCGATATGGCCGTTTTCAGCCATTTCGATGGCCGAAAACGGCCAGATCCCTGGCCATTAACGGCCAGGTCTGGGCTAGATATGGCCGTTAACGGCCAGATCTATTCTGGCCGGAATAGATCTGGCTATTAACGGCCATGTCCGTGGCCGTTAACGGCCAGATCTGGCCCAGACCTGGCCATTAAGGGCCAGGGATCTGGCTGTTAACGGCCATATCGAAGCCTCTTCGTCACGGTAAGGTGCTCACGGGTGCTTTCGGAGATTTTTGGCGGTGGTTTGCGGTGGCGGCAGGCGGCGGCAAGAGGTGGGGGTGATTTCATCATAAATTAAAGTTTTATATAAGCGGGGGTGTTTTAGCTAAATCTGAAATATTGGGGGCTAGAAGAAATTATTCAAAAATTAATAATAAAAATAATCTTATATTAATATTTAAAAGGGAGACAATTTAGTAATTTAAATAACATACCCACCAATTTATTCCCTATAACCAAACATATTCATATAACATACCCACCAACTAACCAAACACATTTTTTTAAAGATTCCCAGTAATCTTCTAAGGTAATCTATCTTCCCAGTAATCTAACATTCCTAGTAATCTAACATTCCTGAACCAAACGCCCCCTTACAGTAATATGATAACATCGCCCATAATAATGACTTAGCATTTTTCTTTGTTTTGATAGGGACCTTTAACATCAATGTTATAACCCAAGCCTCATAAGCAAATTCGCAATACAAATAAACACAAACAAGATTCAAGATCAAAGAATCACACACACACACACAGAGATCAAGACACGAATTTACCGTGGTTCTTCTAGCCAATCTTGGATAGACTACATCCACGTTGAGTTCCAAAATACGGACACTCACAGTACTAAAAGATATTCAACGATTACAAGAAGACAATCATACAAATCGGCTAAAACAGATCAACCCTCAACCAAGGCCTATTCGCTCAAGAATCTCCTAATAATCTGCAAGAAAATAAAGGACAAATATCAGCCTCAAGAAGGAAACGCGACCCTCTCTCACAATCTACCCAGAAAGACCCAGCAAAAACCAACCCTAGTTTCTCTCTTTCACAAACCCTAAACTTGAATAACAAAAAACGCATTCTATTTCTTTCATCACTGTTGCTTTCTTTATATATGCCCGTATTAGTAAACATCAGCCCTTGGATCTGTCTTGATCTGACGGCTAGGATTCAGCAGTGGCCTTAAGTGAAACGACCCCGTTTTTGGCTTCACATTATTTTCAATCAAATTTTGTAATATGTTACCCAATATGACATGTTCCATTTTATGATTTGTATTTTAGAATTCTATTGTTCCATGTTATAAGTTTATGGATTAATGTTACGAACCAGTCTACTGCTGTTGTTATATATGATATCAATACAAAGAAAAATGATCCCATGATTCTATATATAATCTGACAGCCCGTGAAAATTAGAATAGAAATTAGCTTTTACACGGAAATTTGTGGGCATTGTGATTTGTGGAAAAATTAGCAAGAAATCAGCTTTTAATGCATTTCAAGTCCTCCACAAATACTTCAAACTTATCCTCAAATTAATAAAAAGGACCTATCTACCTACTTGCAAGATCCCATTTTCTTATTAAAGTCCAGTTCTATTTGATAGAAGAGAGACTTATTGTTAAGATTATTGTTTGTTTGCAAACTCTTCTTCAATTATTACATATCCATGTTGAATTTTGATTTCGATGCTTGACTTCTTTTGCAGAACGTCTTGGAAGGTTCAGACGCTTGATTTATTTTGCAAAACGTCTTGGGAGGGAGAACTTTATAAACCCACCAGCTTAGCAAATCATATATCCTTGTTGAATTTTGGTTTAGATGCTTGACTTCTTTTGCAAAAACGTCATGGAAGGTTAAGAGGCTTGATTTATTTTCCAAGACCCACCAGATTAGCAAAATTACTATTATGTATCCTTGTCGGAGTGCATTACTTGGTGGAATTTTGGTTTAGATGCTTGACTTCTTTTTTGTAAGTGGGGCCAAACGTCTTGGAAGTGGTAAATTAGAGAGAAAGTGGTAAGAGAGATGGGCACAAATTCAAGTTGGGGCTTTGGAAATAATCATGTTGTTAATTGTTTCCTCTTTTTTGTCATTTACTATGTTCTTTATTTAATCTATGTCCTTTACTATGGAATTTAAGTCAATTGATTGTTTGCTTCTCTACATAGTTGATGGTTTGGAAACAGTTGTTTCAAGTTTGGGATTCTAGTTTAGCTCCCGCACACCAACTGTTCAATCAATTGCCATTATAATTATGGGGCTCAAGAGTAGGTATTAAGTTTAATTAGTTTATATTTAATGCTGTGGAAATTCTTGGTATATATTAAATTATTTTCAAAGTCGTTCCTCTAATGTACAATAACAATATCATTGTGGTTAATTTAAACGCAACGTGAATGGCAACTTGATTTAAATGTGAACTGAAACAAAGAAAGAAATTCATGGTACATATGCTTCAAGAGTAGTACTTTTCTTTTCCCTTAAATCTTTAACACTTAATTTAATCAGTATGCATTTAATAATGTGCACATTCATGGTATATATATAACCTTGCTAATGTTTAGCACTGTTTCCTCTGTTTTGGTCTATGTTCAATACTTAATCTCTATCATTTACTATTTTATTGAGAAGATAAACGTTTCTCAACTTAATATCTAAGTTAAAAATGATTTTCTCGTGTGAAACATTTTCTTGCTGTTTGGAAACGATTTTTGAATATGATATATGAACAAGACTTACATTGGCTGCATGGTGACTTGTAGAAAGAAGCTGAGTCAACTGACTATAGCTTGATTGCTTGTCCAGGAAACAAACGAGAACCACCCAGCACCTCCTGAATAGATAAGAGAAAATTCTTCTGAAAAAAACTGAGCCAACAGTCACTATGCTTTTCTCACTGCTAAGATTGTTTGTGCATCGTGAGCCATAAACAAGACTTATTGTCACATCTTGTACTGCTGACGAATGAAGTCTGTGTAAGTTTACAAGTCTTGGTCTTCTCAATATGGTAGACGTATGAGAACAGTAGCATGAGCCCAAATATTAATTAGTAAAAATAATAATGTTCAAATTTTCTTGACCCTATTAAATTTAATTAATATATATTTGATAATGTTCAAATTCATCGTATATATTTAAAATGAGGAGAGGATGAACATTAAAGAAGTAGTAATCAGACTCTTCAAAAATTAGAGTAACATTTCTAGCAAATATGGTAACAGCAAGAGATAGAAAGCTGTAAAATTTTGGTTAATTTCCTTTTTCTTTTCATTGATAATTATTCTACATTGCTCCTCTTACCTCTATTTTCCTCTGTTTTGGCTTATGTTCTTTACTCAATCTCTTTCATTTACTAGGTTACTGCTATGCTAATTTTCCAACTCAGTCATAATTTGAAAAAGACTTTTTAAACAAGACATTTGCAGCTGTCAATGCCAGAGCAACTTGAAACAACTTGGTCTACAAGGATTTACGTTTATGGATGGAAACTAATAATACAACAAGGATAAACTTCTTATGGGGTTTTTGACATGCTCACATATTATAATTACAGAGGCTAATATTTCCATTGTAATAAGCATTTTTCCCCTTGCAGTTCAATGTGATAATAGAAATCACCTATCATTTTCAATGTCATTTCCTCTAGGGTACAGTATCAATATCATTGTGTGCTTAATTTAAACACAACATGAATGGAAATTTGATTAGTACTTTTCTTTTCCCTTTTAATTTTAATTAGTATGTATTTAATAATGTGCACATTCAGGGTATGTATATAAACTTGCTCATGTTTTTCTCTGTTTTGGCATATGTTTTTAACTCAATCTCTGACTCTCTGTCATTTACTATTTTATTGAGGTAATTAAGGTTTCTCAACATAATATCTAAATTGAAAAACATTCATAAATATGATACCTGAAGAAAGACATACCCAGCTGCTACTGAAAAGGACTTACACTGGCTGCCAGGGCTTGTAGAAAGAGGCTCGGTCAACTGACCTGTAGAAAGACCACTTAAACAGTGAAGAGATAAGAGATTATTCTACTCAAAGGAAACTTCAAACAAAATACAAGTCAATAGTCTTCCATCAATCCAAATTAGGGCCCTGTTATGGTCACTGGTCACTTTTCTTTTGTCACTGCTAAAGAATATTTGTGCCTCTCGTTGTTTCATCATCTTAGCCATAAAAAAGATTTATTATCACATCTCATATTACTAGCAAATGAAAGTCTTGGTAAGTTTATTTATAAGTCTCAGTCCTCTCAATTTTATAATCATGCGAACGTATATACTAATTAATATAAAAAGTTAATAATTATAATCCCTTTAGGTTTGATTGAATAACAAATATCACCCTGAGATTTCTGAAATAATAGAAATCCCCTTGTGTTGGGTTTTAGGTGTTAAAATATATGGTAAGATGGTAATTCGATAAATATTATTAACTCATAAAAGTATGCATATTAACAGTTCACTAACAATAGGGAGAGTTCGTAATTTCAAATCTTTCAGTGGGATTTATGTTATTATATCAGGTCTCAAGGGGCCAGTGTCTTTAACTCTTACTAAAGTAATAATGTTCAAGAGTAAGCATTAAGTTTAATTAGTATATATTTAATTAGTATTAAATAATAAGAGGATGACATTGAAGAAATAGTAATCAGACTTCAAAATTAGTGTAAAATATGGTAACGGCCAGAGATAGAAAGCTGTGAAATTGAAGTTAATTTTCTTTTTCTTTTCATTGATAATTCATTCTACATTGCTCCTCTTTGGCTCTGTTTTCCTCTGTTTTGGCCTATGTTCTTTGTAAGCAGACATTTTTATTTTATTTTTGCAATCTCTTTCATTTACTAGTTTACCTCTATGCTACAGGTTCTGTAGTCTTATCAGTAATTTTGTTAATTAACTGGGAAATTGGGATTGCATACTAAAATGCAGACATACTTCAAATGATTTTTAAGTTTCTAATTCGATTTTTTTTTTTTTGGCTTTTCTATCCCCTTAGAACCAAATCTGAAACCAAAACTGCTTCTTATTAATTTAATATTATGGTTTAGAAACAGTTTCAAGTTCCCCTCAAGTAGTTTCAATCTGATAACGGAGGAGAATTTCCAGCCCCAATTCTTTACTTTAAGCAAAATGGTATTCTGTATAGATTTTTCTGCCCTTATAACAACAAAATGGAAAAGCTGAGAGGAAACACAGACATCTTATCGAAATGGGATTAACACTTTTAGCTTAGGCTTCCATGTCGTTATCCTACTAGTGGCATGCTTTTCAAACATCTGTAATTCTTATTAACAAATTTCCAACATCTACCCTAAACCATTTTTTTCCTTATGAAGTACTTTTTCAGCAGAAACCTTCATATATAGCTCTGAAAGTGTTTGGTGTGAATGTTGTCCCTATCTTACGCCTTATAGTCATCACAAATTTGGTTTCCATACTTCCAAGTGTATGTTCCTTGGCTATAGTATATTTCATAAACATAACTCTCCAGTTAGTACTCATGCTTCAGGTCAGCATTCTTCTGTAGTCTCTTCTTCTGTTTCAGAGCATAGTTCTCAACACACAATGACTGCCTCTTTTTGGTTCTAGTGATTCTTCAGCTAGTGATTCTTTTACAAATGCTTCCAACTATAATTTCTTCCGGTCCCACACTCTATCAGTTGATAGCATTGTTACTATTCCTGAAGTTCCATTTTATATTGAGCTTAATATCGCTCCTCTCTAGGCCACTAGAATTCATTCAATGCAAACAAGATCTCTTACAAAGAAGGCTGCATAACAAGCTCACTCTACTGCTCTTTTAGCCTTAACAGTCATTAATCCTCAAGAACCAAAGAATGTACAAGAAGCTTTATTAGTTTCCCGTCATTGGCTGGCTACCATGAAGCTGGAGTTTGATGCTTAAATTTTATCGACATTAAAGTGTAATAAAGACAACATAGTTGGGGTTTGTAGATAACTTAGCATTTTTCATTGTTGTGATACCAACTTCTAAAATTAAATTTGTAGTATGTTATCAATGTGGGATGGTCCTTGTTACGATCTCTATTTTTAGAAGCCTATTTTTCAATGTTATAAGTTTATCGATTAGTGTTATGTATCCCATTGTTGTCATTATTATTATTCTATCAATACAAACAAAAATATTATAACATTGGAAATCAGCTGGAAACTGGCTTTTAGATGCATTTCTCCAACTTATCCTCAAACTCTATGAAAATGATCCATCTACTTCCAAGGTCCCATTTTCACTTATATTATTTAGGGAACACATTTCATTGAGTCCAAAACCATGTCAACATACCATATGAGAAGTCTCTGTCATACACAATTCCTTCTTTCTTTTTTAATATTTGTCATGCCAGTTATAAAGAAATTAAGCAGAGACTCAGAGATGGCAGCATCAAGGCTCCACTCTTGGGGCACAATGCCCTTCAGGAACAGGGACACCAATCCTTTTCTTTTCTTTATTGTATCAGGATTGCCCTTTTGTCAAGTTTCTTGCAAATATGGGAACACCAAGAGATAGAAAGCTATGAAATTTCAGTTAATTTTCTTTTTCACTTCATTGATAATAGTTTTGTTCTTTATACCTTACTTTTGTTTAGCTCTGCTTTTCTCTGTTTTGGCCTTCGTTATTTTGCATTTTCTTATATTCATAAGTAATTTCGTTATTGAAGCAAAATGCAAACATAACAACCAGGAGTTAAACACATTTGGAATAATTGATCTCTAACCATGTATTATTATTTTATTTAAAAAAGATTAATGTGTTTTAAATTGTTACCATATCTAATTACATATTGAAAAACAGGGTGACCAGCAGTATCTTCTAAAGTTCGAAAAGGTTCATTGACTCTCTTTCAAAGTCGATTCATTAATTTCTTTCTTCATATTTTATTTTCTTTGTTTGTTTGAAAAAAAAATTATGAAACCATTTATGTAATTTTCAATCCATTGACTGAGCCAATTCCAAGTAATAGGGTTACAACCTAAGAGCAGCAAAAAAATTTCATGTGAAAGAACATGTTAGAGAGAATGTATTGTGAGATATTTTAAACTCCTGACTTCATGAATCTCGCATCCTTCTTGTCACACCACATTATCAGAACGTAAATAAGAGTTAAGAGTCAGTTTATAAGCCTTAGATATGCTCAACTTAGTAGCTGTGTTTTGGGTGAAGGACGACTGTGTGAAGATCAAAGGCAAAATCCATGCGGGTCAAGTTGAAAGACTAGTGTTACATTCTTATCAAAGTCAAGTTCTATTTAATAGAAGAGAGGATTGATTTATTTTTTGCAAAACGTCTTGAAAGGGAGAACTTTTTAAACCCACCAGCTTAGCAATGTTATCTTTTTCAAAACGTATTGGAAGGTTTAGACACTTGATTTATTTTGCAAACGTCTTGAAAGGGAGAACTTTATAAACCCACCAGCTTAGCATGGTTATTACTATATATCCTTGTTGAATTATGGTTTAGATGCTTGACTTCTTTTGCATAACGTCTTGGAAGGTTCAGCCACTTGATTTATTTTGCAAAACGTCTTAAAAGGGAGAACTTTATAAACCCACCAGCTTAGCAATGTTATCTTTTTCAAAACGCATTGGAAGGTTTAGACACTTGATTTATTTTGCAAAACGTCTTGAAAGGAAGAACTTTATAAACCCGCCAGCTTAGCATGGTTATTATGATATATCCTTGTTGAATTTTGGTTTAGATGCTTGACTTCTTTTGCAAAACGTCTTGGAAGGGAGAACTTTATAAACCCACCAACTCAGCAAGGTTATCTTTTACAAAACGTCTTGGAAGGTTCAAAGGCTTGACTTCTTTTGCAAAACGTCTTGGAAGGGAGAACTTTATAAACCCACCAGCTTAGCAAGGTTATTATATCAAGAGAGGTGTGGACACATTGAAGTTGGGTTTTGGAAATAATCATCTCGCTGTTTATTTATAAGTATCAGTCTTGTGTAATTGTACATGTCACCAAGCCCACACTAAAACCACGCAACATTCTAATCTCATGGAGAGAAACCTTTCCCTTTGCTTTGTCTTAGTTTTCTTAGTTCCTTTTTCAACACTTTCCTTTGTTAATGCGGAAGTAACCAACATTTCCACAGACAAACAAGCTCTTCTTGCTCTGAAAGCTAGTATAAGCGATGATCCTAGCAATATATTGGCCAACAATTGGTCCACAACTACCTCTGTTTGTAGTTGGACTGGCATCACTTGTGCGGGTCGTCACCATAGAGTCACAGCTTTGAATATTTCTAACATGGGTCTCACAGGTACCCTTCCTCCTCAACTAGGAAATCTATCTTTCCTTGCAACACTGGCCATCTGGAACAACAGCTTTTATGGCTCTCTCCCTGAGGAGTTGGCTCACTTACGACGATTGAAACACCTTCGTTTCAATTATAATAGATTATCTGGCAAATTACCATCCACTTTATCAAAATGCAAAAAATTGCAGGTCTTATCCCTGAGTTTCAATTATTTCACAGGAGTCATTCCAAAAGAAATCGGAAACTTGACCCAGCTTAAGTGGATGTATCTTGGCAATAATAAACTCCAAGGTGTGATATATATGAACCTCGTTTTTAGCTGTTTTTACAAATGTTCTTTAGAGAAATTTTCTAAACAATATATTGCTTATTTGTGTTGATTTTGTAGGAGGAATTCCAAAAGAGCTAGGCAATCTTGCAGAACTGGAGACATTGTCACTCAAAAATAATTCCTTAATGGGAGCTATTCCTTCACTCATCTTCAACCTTTCTTCTTTAATTTTCATGGACTTATCAAATAATAGCCTAACCGATGGACTCCCTGAAAGCAGTTTTGATAATCTTTCCAATTTGGAATCGCTTCACTTGCATGATAATATGCTCCATGGCAAATTACCATCCACTTTATCAAAATGCAAAAAATTACAAGTCTTATTCCTGAGTTTCAATTATTTCACAGGAGTCATTCCAAAAGAAATCGGAAACTTGACCCAGCTTAAGCGGATGTATCTTGACAATAATAAACTCCAAGGTATATATATATATGTGTGTGTGTGTGTGTGTATAGACGAAAGCAATCTTGTTTATACTAATTTTTACAAATTTTCGTTTTAAGAAATTTTCTAGATAGCTCAATTGCTATACAACTTTAATTTCACAAAAAAGGTTGACTAATTTTTCTTTTTTTTTTTTTTTTAGTATTTAAGAGTGTCATCTAATCATTTATTGACATCATCATACAATGCCTCCGTCAATCCGCAAGAGAAATGAACTATATGATATATTTTATTCTTCGATTCTTTTGCAGGATCCATACCAAAAGATATTGGAAACTTTATTCAACTTACAATTATGTAATTGGACTTCCTCTGTTTGCAATTGGATTGGCATCCATTGTGGTGTCTATCACCATAGAGTCACATTTCTTGATATTTCTTTCTTTAATCTTACAGACCCCATTCCTCCTCAAGTGGGAAATCTTTCTTTCCTTACAATTCTAGGCTTCCAGAAAAACAGCTTTTATGGCTCTCTCCCTGATGAGTTAGCTCAATTACGTCGTCTTAAATGCCTTGATTTCAGTTACAATAACTTCAATTTACAGATCCCATTATGGCTGGCCTCCTTAACCAAACTTCAATTTTTGGGTTTGAATGAAATCAAATTCTCAAGGACTATCCCTCAGTCCCTTAGCAACTTGTCTTTGTTACAACTTTATCTTGATTATAAACAGCTTTCAGGTTCCATCCCCTCCTCCATCTTCAACATATCTTCACTGCAGTTACTTAGTTTATATCATAACCAACTCTTTGGTTCCTTCCCTTCCATCTTTTTCAACATGCCTTCGTTATTTTTTATTGACGTGGGTAATAATGGATTATCCGTGGACTCCCTGAAACTGCTTTTGATTATCTTCCTAGTTTCGAAACGCTTTTTTTGGATAGAAATATGTTCAGAAGCGAAATACCCTCCACTTTATCAAAATGCAGAAGCTTACAATCCTTATTATTGTCGCACAATTACCAAAAGAAATTGGAAAATTGACACAGTAGACTCTAAGGTTTATATGCAAAAGTTATTGGCCTGCATAAATTTTTTTCTCAATCTAAAATATATAATTTTTTGGACACTATGACTTCTCAAATATTAATTGATTTATAGAGTTTTTTTTTTTTTTTTTTTTTTTTTTTTAATAAAGTTTGCTAATAATACTATTGCTTATATAGATGTACATGTTGATTTTGTTGGAGAAATTCCAGGAGAGTTGAGCAATTGTACACGACTGGAGTTTTTAAATTTTCATAATAATCAGCTCACTTATACATTTTAAACCGTAATTGCCCAGCCTAGCTGCTACATTTTTCTCAAGGCACATATATGTGTGAAAATTATGAAAGTGCACATTTTTAAAAATTGAACTTTTATTTATTAACATGGATAATGTTTAAAAACAATTTACATTTTTAAAAATTGAACTTTTATTTATTGACATGGATAATGTTTAAAAATAATTTTTCTTAATTGTGATTATTCTCTCTCTCTCTCTCTCTCTCTCTTTGTGTGTATTTAATCTTCTTCTGTTAAATGAAATGAGGTTGTAACTGAATTAATTCACAGGAGCCATACCAAAAGAAATCGGAAACTTGACTCGTCTTGAGCAATTAGATCTTATGCACAATAAACTCCAAGGTATGACACATGCAATCTTTTTATAAAAAATTTAATTAATTGTAAAATAAATATATATACATACTGGATACAATATATATTTAATTAATTGTCAAATATAGTTTACCATTATAGTAAAGATATTAATACGAACGTAATAGAAAACATTAATTGTCAAATGCAGTTTACCATTACAATATAGCTTAAGGACATGCATATTGGATACAGTAGACTCCAAGTTATATATGCAGAAGTTATTGGCATGCATAAATTTTTTTCTCAATCTCAAATATATAATTCTTTGACCATTATGACTTCTCAACTATTAATTGATTTATAGAGTTTTTTTTTTTTTTTTTTAATTTTGTTAACAATACCGTTGCTTATATATATGTATATGTTGACTTTGTAGTAGAAATTCTAGGAGATTTGGGCAACTGTACACAACTGGAATTATTAACTTTATCGAATAATCAGCTCACTAGTACATTTTAAACCGTAACTGCCTAGCCTAGCTGCTACACTTTTTTGAAGGCATATATATGTGTGAAAATTATGAAAGTGCATATTTTTAAAAATTGAACCTTTATTTACTGACATGGATAATGTTTAAAAACAATTTGTCATAATTTTCCATGCAAGAAAGTTTGATTAAAATTTTATCTATTTATAAATAATGATAACTGATTACAAGCGCTAGTAAACATATCACACTATATATTCACATTAAAGAAAAAAATCTAGAGTACCACAATAATCTCCAAACTTGATTCAACTTAGCGTTTTGCACCTTCTCAACAATAATCTCCGAGGTATAATATGTGTTAGCATATACGCATACTGGTTACAATATGTATTTAATTAACTGTAAATTAAATATATACACATATCGGTTACAATATATATTTAATTAATTGTCAAATATAGTTTACCACTATAATAAAGATATTAACACGAACATAACTAAAAACATTTGATCCCAACAACTAATGTGCTTAAATATTATAATAAAGAAACTGCAACACTAGAAAATAGATTAAATGAATGAAGGGTAAAAGTCCTATTATTAGTGAATCTTCTCTTTGTTGTAATCTAATCCAACAAATGATGAGCTCTCTCATATTTAATTTCAGGTGAGATACCATGTGAAATTGGTAATCTTCATAATCTACAAAGTTTGGACCTTAGTCTTAACAACTTAGTTGGTTTGGTCCCAACAACTGTCTTCAATATCTCAACAATGGCACAACTTGGAGTTGCTGGAAATAAACTCAGAGGAATGATTCTTCCATCAAACATTGAGCTTCCAAATCTCGAGTTTCTTTACTTGGGTTTAAATGATTTTAGTGGACATTTCCCAACTCTATCACCAACTTATCCAAGCTCTCCGATCTAGATATTTCAACCAACACATTCTCAGGTTTCATTCCTATTACAATTGGCAATTTAAGAAATCTTGAGTGGCTTAACCTAGCGGATAATTTCTTGACATCTTCTACACCAAATTTGAGCTTTCTTTCCTCTTTGACAAATTGCAAGAATTTAAAAACTCTCGCAGTAGAAAGAAATCTGTTGAATGGCATCCTTTCGAATTCCATAGGGAATCTCTCTATTTCTTTGGAAAATGTTTACATGAGNGTTAATAATACCATTACTTATATATATCTATATGCTGATTTGCGTTTTTTTTTTTTTATTTTATTAATAATACCGTTGCTTATATATATTTATATGTTGATTTTGTAGGAGAAATTCCAAGAGAGTTAGGCAATTGTACACGACTGGAGATATTATATTTTCGTAATAATCAGCTCACTGGTACATTTTAAGCCGTAACTGCCTAGCCTAGCTGTTACATTTTTCTCAAGGCACATATATGATATATGTGTGAAAATTATGAAAGTGCACATTTTTTAAAATTGAACTTTTATTTACTGACATGGATAATGTTTAAAAATAATTATTAATTCATAATTGTGATTACTCTCTCTCTCTCTCTCTCTGTATTTAATCTTCTTCTGTTAAATGAAATGAGGTAGTAACTGAATTAATTCACAGGAGCCATACCAAAAGAAATCGGAAACTTGACTCGGCTTGAGCAATTATATCTTTCAGAAAATAAACTCCAAGGTATGACACATGCAATCTTTTTATAAAAAATTTAATTAACTGTAAAATAAATATATATGCATACTAGTTACAATATATATTTAATTAATTGTCAAATATAGTTTACCACTATAATAAAGATATTAATACGAACATAACAGAAAACATTTGATTCCAACAACTAATGTGCTTAAACATTATAATAAAGAAATTGCAACGCTAGAAAATAGATTAAATGAATGAAGTGTAGAAGTCCTATTATTAGTGAATCTTCTCCTTGTTGTAATCTAATCCAACAAATGATGAGCTCTATCCTATTTAATTTCAGGTGAGATACCAAGTGAAATTGGTAATCTTCATAATCTACAGGATTTGGGCCTTAGTATTAACAACTTAGTTGGTTTGCTCCCAACATCTGTCTTCAATATCTCAACGATGATAACACTTGGAGTTGCCGAAAATGAACTCAGAGGAATGATTCTTCCATCAAACATTGAACTTCCAAATCTCGAGTCACTTTACTTGGGTTTAAATGATTTTAGTGGGACATTTCCCAACTTTATCACCAACTTATCCAAGCTCTCCAATCTAGATATTGCAGCCAACTCATTCTCAGGTTTCATTCCTATTACAATTGGCAATATAAGAAATCTTGAGTGGCTTAACCTAGCGGATAATTTCTTGACATCTTCAGTAAATTTGAGCTTTCTTTCCTCTTTGACAAATTGCAAGAATTTAAAACATCTAGAGGTAAAAGGAAATCCGCTCAATGGCATCCTTTTGAGTTCCATAGGGAATCTCTCTATTTCTTTGGAAATGGTTGACATGAATGATTGCAATATTAGTGGCAGCATTCCCAAAGAAATCAAAAACTTAAACAACTTGATAGATATACGGTTACAAAACAATGAATTGATTGGGTCTATCCCAGCTACACTTGGTGGGCTACAGAAACTCCAAGGTTTGAACCTTGGAAATAATAAATTAGAAGGATCCATCCCGGATCATCTTTGTCATTTGAATCAATTAGTTGACTTGCAACTATATGGTAACAAGATTTATGGATCCATACCTGCATGCTTGGGTAATCTCAATACCCTAAGAACTCTATCGTTAGCCTTCAATAGGTTAACTTCTATCATACCCTCAACTTTATGGCAACTTAATGACATCTTGCACTTTAATTTGTCATCAAATTTTCTAAATGGATCTCTCCCATTAGAAATTCAAAATCTGAAAGTTGTGGTAGATATAGATTTGTCAAAGAATTTTTTGTTCGGCAATATTCCAATCATTATCGGAAACCTAAAAAATCTACAAAATCTCTCTTTAGGATCTAATAGATTACAAGGCCAAATTCCTGACTCTTTTGGTCACTTGACAAGCTTGGTGTTTTTGGATTTGTCTAATAACAACCTCTTTGGAGTTATTCCTAAGTCTTTAGAAAAAATCGTGTACCTCAAATATCTAAACTTATCTTTCAACCGATTGAGTGGTGAAATTCCTACCGGAGGGTCTTTTGGAAACTTCTCGGCTGAATCATTTATCGGTAATCTTGCTTTGTGTGGTTCTCCCCGACTACAAGTTTCACCATGCAGAAAAAGCACTCATCGAAAATCAAGGACTAAAAAGGCTCTCCTACCGATTGTTTTCACACTAGGCATTATGTTCACATTAGTTACCCTGATTCTTACATTTGTGTTGGTCAAATGCCTAAAAAAGCCCACAAAGCCATCTACCAATGCTGATATTTTGCCACAAGAAACATGGAGGAGAATTTCTCAACAAGAACTAGTGAGAGCAACAGATGGATTTAGTGAGAATAACCTACTTGGTAGAGGAAGTTATGGTTCAGTTTACAAAGGAAGATTAGAAGATGGGATGGAGCTTGCAATAAAGGTATTCCATTTGCATCTTAAAGGAGCATTTACGAGTTTTGAAGCTGAATGTGAAGTACTGAGTCGTGTTCGTCATCGAAATCTTGTCAAAATCATCAGCAGTTGTACAAATGATGATTTTAAGTCTTTGATACTAGAGTACATGCCCAATGGGAGCTTGGAAAAATGCTTGTATTCTGACAACAACGTTTTGGACATATCCCATAGGTTGACCATAATGATCGATGTAGCATCAGCTTTGGAATATCTCCATTTTGGTTATTCAAATCCTATCATTCATTGTGACTTAAAGCCCAGTAACGTCTTGTTAGATGAAAATATGGTTGCACATTTGAGTGATTTTGGCATTGCAAAGCTCTTAGGTGAAGAAGACTGTATGACACAAACACAAACCCTTGCCACCATTGGTTATATGGCGCCAGGTGATCGTTTGTAATTTAATTTTTTTTTCATTACAACTTTTTTATTACTGTTTTTTTTTTTTTTTTTTCTTACTAGAAGAAAAAAATTAATGATTTATATGTCTAATAATGAAAGTGCATGTGATCACTGTCAGAACATGGAAGAGAAGGAAAAGTGTCTAGAAAAGGAGATGTTTACAGCTATGGTATCATGCTAATGGAAATATTTACAAGGAAGAAGCCAACAGATGAAATATTTACTGAAGAAATGAACTTAAGGAGTTGGGTTGGTAAATCATTATGCAACACAGTGATGCAAGTCCTAGACACAAATTTACTGAGAAGGGATGATGAACATTTCTCAAGAAAGGAGGAATGTGTGTCATCTATCTTGAGTTTGGCTATGGAGTGTACAAGAGAATCACCTGCAGAAAGGGTGAGCATAAAAGAAGTCGCAACAAGACTCATCAAAATTAGAGTTGAATTTGAAAAAATCGGAACAAGAAGAGGCAGAAGGTTTTGAATTTATGTTGATACCCTTCTATTTTCATTGATAATAAAGTTTGTCCAGTTGATGAGCCATACCCTTGAACTTTTTTTTTTCACTTATGTTATGTTATTTAACTACTGGCTCTTTTGATTTGCAGAGAGAAATGAATGAGCTTGTTGCCAACTGCCCATGAATTGAATGACCTGAGTTTCAAAGAAGCTATGTGTAAAGATGAAGCAACCTTTTAACTTTTTTCTAAGCCTGTGATGACAAGAAGCGCTTGTATTGAGTTTTTGAATTTGATAGACCTTAATGTACTAAGGACAAAGTATAAGGGGTTTGAAAAGTTTCCCATTTCTAATAAAGATGAATTGATTTTCTTTTATTAAACTTTCTTTTTTATTTTTGCCAATAAAAATGACTCACCATTTACAATATCAATCCCTTTATAGTACAATTGCTATTGTTCGTTCATTTTGATTTTAACACCTATGTAAGGTTTCTCACCATGAAAAAATAAGACTTGTTGAAAGACAAATTTTCTATCAAATCTCTTACTAACGGCAATCACAAATTTCAGGATCATGATTTGTACCTCCCCATGTTTCTTTTAGTTTTGTGGTTATTAATGTGCAATGGTACAGTCTATCAGTTTCAATGTGACATGTGCAGCATCATTAAAGCCCACCATGATTGGCCCAAGGTTTTCAAGTTTGAAAAGGTCCTTTAAGCCCATGCATTTATTGTATTGGATCATTTACAGTGTTATTAACGTGGCATGTTCTTTATTATGACATTTATTTTTAGAAGTTTATTGTTCAACATTATAAGTTTACATATTGATATTATGTACAACTCTATTGTTGTTATTACTATTGTTATTATTCTATCAATACAAAGAGAAATGTTCCCATGATTTTATAATTTAACGACCCTTGACAGTAAGACTATAAATCAGCTTTTACATATGATTTGTAGATAAATCAGTTGGAAATTAGCTTTTAGATGCATTTCTCTAATTTATCCTCAAAAATATATGAAAATGATCCATCTACATCCAAGGTTCCATTTTCACTTATATTATTTAGGGGAATACATTTGATTAAGTCCAAAACCACTTCAACATACCATATGAGAAGTCTCCATCATACAAAATTCCTATTTATTTATCTTCTTTAATATTTTCATGCCAGAGTTATATATATATATAAAAAAAAAAAAAGCACAAACTGAGAGATGACAACATCAAGGCCCACGTCTTGGAGCCCAATGCCCATCTGTGGTTAGTGCTTAAATACGAACTAGGCCACCAATCTTTTTTTTTTTTTAATGTAATTTGGGACTACTTGTAACAACTAGGTCACTAGACAATGCCAATTATGTTGAATTATTAATGTTTTTCTTTTTGTATCAAGATTTCTCTTTGTGATAAAGGCTTCAACATAGTTGTCTCT